AAATAAATATTGACGAAGTGCACAGTCGGAGACGGATAAACAATTTATTTCTCCAAAATTTTTTCAATATTTATTTTAGTTAAATAAATAAACAATTTTAAAGTAAAATTATTTTTTATATTAAGTTAAAATATGAAAATTTGTAATTAAATTAAAATCTAATATAATTTATATTATTTAATATATTTTAATGATTATTATTTTTATAACTAATAATTATGATGAATAAATTAAATTTAAGCTCTCTCGTGAAAATAAAAACAGCAAGTGAATGGGTTTCTATCTATCTCTCTCCCTCTCTCTCTCTCTCCCTCTCTCTCTCTCTCTTTCTCTTGTGAGAAGCAGCAGAAAATGCATGTGGTGTTATTTTTCAAAGAAAATGAAGTGTTGATTTGCGTTTGCATAGAAAATGCAAAGCACCTTGGCGTTTTCTTCAGAAAACAAAATCCTGCTTTGCGTTTTCTTACAAAACACAATTCTTGTTCACTTATATGCTCCCTTTTAAATTTATTTTTTTTCCTACTCCTATCCTAAAAACTTTTATGAAATCTGCTCCTTTTAAAAATTTACCCATATAAATATCGATGCATATTTAAATTAGAGACCTCTGGAACAAAATTAGATCATCCAAATTTAGATTTCAATAAATTTATAATCAAATTGATCATTCAATAATACTAACTCAACAACATAAAAAATTATATGATTCAAATTCAAACAAACTTAGATCAAGAGCTTGAAGCAAAATTAGATATTTTGAAATATTAATTAGTTGACTAAATGATCTCTGAATTTGCAAAGCTTATAATCAAATAAAATGCCTCAACAAGATGAATCTAATGAGCTCAATATCACTTAATTTTGACAGCATTAAGGTATTTATATGCTAAATGAATGCTCTATAACCAAAGGAATCAATACATGCATGCAATTCGATAGAGTGCTCTGGGTTGTCACCATAATTACAGGGCATTCACTTTCAAAAATTTATCAATAAGCACATTGATTAGACATTCAAGTGAACTTAAAAGCTTAAAAAAACTTAGAACTCCACCTTAGTACCATCATCGTCAGACATTCATCACCTAACTATCATGATCGAACCACTGCCCCATTATCATCATAGTTGGACATTCACTGTCAGACCACAAACACATTATTGTTGTTGGACTATTGCCCGATCACCACCTTCAAACCTTCAATGCCCATCGACCATTGTCAGATTGTCAACACCCTACCACTGTCATTAGACCACTACCTTTGTTGGACTACCAACGTCAGACCACCATTGCTCAATTGTTTTTGTTGTGTCATAATTGTCAAACAATTGCTATCACCAAATCACCAACGTTGGACTACTGCCTCTCAACATTCATTATTGGATCGATGTCGTCTAACCACCATCATTAAACAAAAATTTTCTTCAACAAAGTTGCTTTTGAATTTTATTATTTTTATGGGTCTAAAAATTTTTCTTCTACAAAATTGTATATCGCATATGTCTAAATTTTTTCAAATAATTTTGATAATATAATGTATCTATTAACACAATCTATTATAGAAAATAGAACTAATCATAAAACAAGATGTTCGCAAAGAAACATATTTGTTCAAATACGAAAATATGATGTAAGAAACTTATAATTTAGTATGAGATGAATGCAATTAGATGATTACACTGATAATTCTTAAAATAATTACTAATGATTAATGATAAATACAAAATTGATATTGAGGGCAAGAATAATAACACAAACTTGGCGAGGCTGAGATTATTGAAGTTATTGTTATGTTAATCTCATGAAATGTTGATTTCTTGTATAAGTAAAAATAAAATGAAAATATTGTAGAAAGGTGGAAGAAAGCTTTCATGATAGCCAGGGAAAGCCAGAGAAACTTTTGTATTACTTCTTGTCGTATTACTTCTTGTCTTATTCACAGGATACAAAGAAATATAAATAAAGACATGAAACAAGATGGTACAAGAGAAGCAAGAATGGTACAGATGTAAGCCAACCGGAGGGAGCCACATGTACAAGTGGCTAACAGGCCCTCTCAAATTTATGGATGAGAAGCAGTTGTGAGTTTGATAGAGAGGTCTTTGAACCGTTGAGTTGGTAGAGGCTTGGTGAAGAGGTCGGCGAGCTGTTCATTCGTACAAATGTGATGAATGGAGATATTCTTTTTCAGAATGCAGTCCTAGATAAAGTGCCAGTCGATCTCATTGTGATTTATGCGTGCATGAATGTCCGGGTTATTGGCGAGGGCGATAGTGAAAGTATTGTCACAGTACATAATGGTATGAGAGTTTTGCAGTGTATGAAAGTCTTCTAGAAGACATCTTAGCCATAGAATCTTTGAAGCTTTGAAGGCTAAAGTGCAGTACTCAACCTCTATACAGGATCGTGCTATTGTGTTTTGTTTCTTGACCTGCCATGACATGAGAGAGTTGCCTAGGAAATTGCAGCAGTGGGATATAGACTTCCGATCTTGGTTGTTACTTGCCCAATCTGCATCGATGTATCCTCATAGAGTGAGATTGTTTCGTTGTAGAGGAATACCTGTGGCGAAGGTTCCTTGAATGTATTGAAGAAGATGCCTGAGGACTTCATGGTGAGTGTTGAGCGGACTTTGTATGTGTTAGCATAGTTGATGGACGACGAATTGAATATTTGGATGAATGAGCGTCAGGTATTGTAGTGAGCCAATGAGATGGCAATCCAATTGAGGATTTGAAAATGGTTCTTGAGATTTGGTGGTGATGGTGGTTTTGCATGATACCAGAGTGGAAATTGGTTTGGATTGTCCCATGCTTGTATGCTCGATGATCGTCCGAGCATATGGTTGTTGATGTAGAAGGATGTCGGAATGTGCTTTGATAGCTTGAATGCCCAAAAATTGGGACAGTGATCCAAGATTTCTCATTTGAAATTAGAATGATGATTAGATAATAATTGATTGATTTCAGTCGAAGAATTACCTGTAAGGAGGATGTCGTCGGCATAGATTAAGATATAGAAGCGAACTGTATCGAATTTATATGTAAGATGGAGTGATTGGAGGTGCTGATTTGGAACCCGAAGTTGAGCAAGTGGTTGGATAGAGTGGCGTACCACTCCCGAGGTAATTATTTGAGATTATACAATGCTTTCTTCAATTTGCATACATAGTTGGGGTGAATGTAGTCATGAAATCCCAAAGGTTATTGCATGTAAATGGTGTCAAATAGAGTGCAATGGAGGAAGACGTTTGAGACGTCGAGATGATGGATGGTCTAATTGTGTTGCAGTGCAATGAGAATAAGCACAAATATTATTGGCATTTTAACAATAGGACTAAAGGTTTATGTGTAATATAGACAATGAGAATAAGCACAAGCGAGCTATTGATCGATCTGAATTAAATTTAGTGTGAAACATCCATTTAGAGCCAAGGAAGTTCTGAGACGGGGCGGGAGAAACCAATTCCCAGGTGCCTTGAGCTTAAAGGGCTTGGAATTCTTGAAACATTGATATTCACCAATATTCATATTTAACAACCTGAGTGTAGGTAGTTGGTTTGTTGTGCTGTAGAATGTGTGTGAGATCAAAGATTTTCTTGGGTTTGGAGTTGCCACTTTTGAGGCGGGTGATCATATAATGTTGGAGTTGCCACTTTTGAGGCGGGTGATCATATAATGTGTGGGCATGCACTGAGAAGGTGCAGGAGCTGTGATTTGTTATTGGGTTTGATTAGCAAATGTAGAGGTGGCATGTGCAGGGTTTGGGGAGCTAGGTCCATTGTCCGGTTGAATGTGATTTGGGGTTGGAGAGTCATTTGTGGGTGGCATGTGAGAGAATAGAGACGTGTTGGATTTGGTGCTACGAGATGTAGAGTTGTTGATGATTAAGGAAGGTATATTGGTTGTTGGAACAAGAAGAAGTGGGGGTTTTGAAAAGGATGAGGAATGATATATGGAAGAGTGAGAAGATTGATTGGATTAAGGAAAAATATTTTCATTGAAAATGATGTGGCATGATGTGTAGATTTTGTTGGAGATGGGATTCAAACATTTATAACCTTTTGGGGAGGTGGCATAGTCTATAAATATGAAAGTATGAGATAGAGGAGATAGCTTATTGGTTGAAAATGGCTTTAGCCAGAGGTAACATAGACAGTCAAAAACCATTAGGTTATTATAATTGGGTTGTTTTTCATAAAGGAGTTTGTAGGGAGATTTATGTTGGGTGTTGGGAGAAGGTAGACAAGTTACTAGGCAAGCTGCCGTTAGGAGAGTGTCAACCTAGTGATGTTGAGGTAGAGAGGCTTCGAGGAGAAGAGTGCGAGTTATTTCTATTAAATGGCGATGCTTGCGTTCTGCCATGCTGTTTTGAGAGGGTGAGTGGGGGCAAGTAAACTGATAAATTATGCTATTGTAACGACAACAGGTATTGAATTTGTTATTAATAAATTCTCTGCAATTATTGGTACGAAGTATATGAATCTTGTGATGAAATTGTCTATCCACTAGTCGTTGAAATTCAAGAAATTTAGTAAAAACTTCTTATTTTTGAATAAGAGGATAAACCGATGTAAATTTAAAAAAATCATCCATGAATGAAACATAGTAGCGATAACCTTGAGTAGATGCAATAGGAAAGGGTCCCCAAACATCGGAATGGACTAGAGAAAAAGGTAAAATAGTTACAGTTTGAGAATTAACCGTAGGTAAGCAATGGCTTTTGGCCATTTTACAAGAATTACACATAGGTATTTTAGTGGACATACGAACATGACTATGATGTTTAGCAATAGTGGCAAGATTTTGAGCTGAAGGATGACCGAACCGATGGGGCCAAAGGTCCAAAACTTGCTGAATTGATAGGAGAGCTAGCTAAGACGTTTTGGAGATCTTTGGTTACCTTATATGAAATGGATAAAGCCCGTTAATACACAGACCCGTGAGAAGAAGGTGATGGGTCTTCTGATCCTTTATTTCGTAGCCATGAGAAGAAAAGGTGAAAACATAGTTATTATCAGTGGTTAATTTGTGAATAGATAATAGATTGAATTATATATTGGGAACAAGATTAACATTAGATAATTTGAGGCTACCTGTGGGTGTGGGAAGAATTCTTTTACCCATGGTGTGGATTGAAAGTTGGTGGCCATTTCCAAGAACGACATGACTGGAGCCATTATAAATTTGGGATTGTTATAATTAGCTTGAATCAGAAGTTAGGTGCGTGGAGGCACTGCTACAAGAAACCATTCTACCAATGGCGATTGTGATGGAGATGTGAAGAGAACTGAAGTAGGTTTGGTGTTGTATTGATCATTGTGATGATGCTAGCACTTGATGTTCGAGTGACCAAATTTGCCACAGATTTGGCAAGTGATTGTTGGTCGAGTAGATTTCCCCCACGATTCGTGAGAGTAGTATTGGATGGTCAGTTGGTGGTGTGACCGCGAGTATATGATGTTCATCCTCGACCCCATCTGCGATCGACTGTGAGAGTTGTTGGGTTGCCGGAGAGGTGAAGGGATTGAAGTTCTTTTATATTTTCATGAGTGGGGTTGAGCTCCTCGCTGCCTAGGAGGGTTTACAGTTCGTCTAAGCTTATCGAATAGAGGTTTGTGTGAATGGTAGTCTTGAATGCTTGGTATGTGTTAGGGAGGCCATTTAGAGTGTAGTGGATCACATCTTCCATGTCAATCGGGGCTCTCGCGGCTGCAAGTGCATCAACTTTAGATTTGACTTCAAGAAGATATTGAGTCATTGATTTATCTTTTATGGATAAGAAATGCAGCTCATTCTTCAAATGAATGATTCTTGATCAGGGGGATGATTGAAGCTGGCGGTCAAGTGTCATACATATGTAGGTACAATGATCTACTGAGAGAACATATGGCAAGATAGCGGGGGAAATGATGGAGTAGAGAGCTGCGGCAAGATTTTGGTCGAGTAAGATCCAGTTGGTGTACGAGGGATTAGGTGTATGTTGGTCGGCTTTGGTGGGAGATAAGGAGGAGGGCAGGTCGTGGAACCATCCAATAAGCCTTCAAATCCGTTGGCGTGAAAGAATTTGAGTAATTGAGATCGCCAAAGCGAGTGGTTCTCAGCCGTGAGGGGTTGCACAATGACGTTTGTTGACCTCATTGTTCGAGGTCAATTTCCCCAAATCCAATTCTAGCACCTAGGTATTCGTAGTCTAGAGTAGACATCACCCATAGGATTTCCCTTAGGTGGACGTCCACTGACGTAGCATCGACTTGAGCCTATCATTCAATTCGAATCAAAATCAATTCAATCCAATTTCAATTAAACTCCAAACAAACTTAATTCAAATTCAATTTATGATTCATCGATGTCAATCGACTCATTTAATTTGATCTAATTCGTTTTTGATCAAATTGATATATCATTGGGCTTAAAATAACTCACCAATCAAATCAAATCAAATTAACTCAAATTGAATTCGATTTCAATGGCTTTGATTAACCCATTTTGACTCGTCACAATTATATATATAATAATAATTGATACGTCGTCAACAATTATCTTAATCGGGCACGAATCTCGATGCAAAATCAAGTTTGGAAACTTCAAAAATTAATTCGGAGACCATCCGAACTCCGATTTCAGTAAACTTATAGTCGAACTGAGCGTCTCAGGAATACAAACCCAACAACACCAAGATCAACTCAATCCGAGCCCAAATGAGTCCGAATCAAGGGCTCAAAGCGCTGTTGGAAGATTCAAACCGCAATTTGAGTTACCAAACGGTCTCCGATTTTGACGAGCTTATACTCGAATCGAACGGCTCGACGAGACGAATCCAATGAGTTAACATCCCTAACGAACTTTCTAGTGCCATCAGAGCACTTTCATATTGGAGCTTGGATATTTGATTGTTCCTCTTCTTGTAATTATTCACTATAGGTGGCAATGATGGTTTTTCCCTATTGCTTAGGCTTGTTAGTTTTCTTTGTTTTTATTTAAGCATTCTAGCTTAGGTTTTGTATACAGGATTCTTAAGTTTTTCTTATTTTTCTTACATTTGTTGTAATCTTTTAATTGTAAATTTTCATTATATTAATGAAAATTGGGCATGATTTCTCTTAATTTCCCCCAAAAAATAATATGGCTACTAATCTACTTTCGTTCTCCAAAAAATACCTTCCTCTTTTGCTCATTAGATATGGTACATATGTCTTTCAATCATACTGACCATGTGTCTATCCCTATTTTATCTCTTCCTCGAGTAACATTATAGTTATTTTTACCTTCAATCCTATTTATGTTGGACAACTATGTGAACCAGATATATATATATATATATATATATATATATATATATTCACTTTGGTTGTGTGTAGGTGCCTCAAAGGAAACATATTTTTAGGACATGGCATAAGGATGTTCTCCTATTTGCACTCACCGATCTCAAAGTGCAGTCATATTTGCATCTACTATGTTATTTTTTGCATCCAATGCTTTCACTCCCTCAATTTTTAGTATTCTTGGATTGGTCATGTTTCTTTTGGTTTTTTTTGCAAACTTATTTCTTGCGTTCACTTGGATTATTCCGCAATTTTTAGTATTATTGGATTGGTCATATTTCTTTTTGGTTCTTTTTGTAAACTTATTTCTTGTGTTCACTTGGATTTTTCTGCAGTAACATCAATTGTTGCATTTCTTTTCAAATGTTAAAACAACCTATTTTATCCTTGCCCAACAGTTGTTTATGTGGCACCGGTCTATTTAGATCTTGTTCATTTAATGTGTGGGGTCTTGCTCCTCATCTTCATGTTAGTTTTTTATATTTTTCCATCTATATGGACGATTATTCTTATTTTATTTGGCTTTGTGAATTTAAAATCATTCTAAACTTCATCAAATCCATTCTATACTTACTCTGTTCTCTATGTTTCGAGTTTTCGATCGTCCTTGTTATTTGCTTATTGAAGACCATGAGCAAAGTATGGTGCAAAGTTGTTGTCATCTCTATTGCTTCTTAAGATACAACCTAGAATATAAGGACTATTATTGTTGGGATCCTATATCACTTCTTAGAATCACTCATCATTTTTTTTGGGAAAATGCTATATTTTCTTCTCAATTTAACTTAATCCCTTTACCATTTCTTATCCTTACCTTTCTTCTAAGGATAACACATCGAATAATGCAATGACACTGCATGAATGTAGAGCACTACCTTCTTTGATGATCTTGTAACTGCAACCATACCACTCAAGGAAACAACTTGCTAACTTCATGAAGTTCCTCCAGTTGAACAATCTACGAGCTCATCAAAAGGTAACTCTGCATTTTATTTACAGCCTATTATTATCACTCTATTATTTCCACCTTTCACAGCCCTTCATCTATCGCAAGGCTTATTCTGACCCCCAAGCTATGCGAGAAGAATTAGATGCCTTATATCGCACTCACACTTGGGTTTTAGTTGATCTACCCACAATTCAGTTATTGACCGTAAATTTATAAAATCAAAACTCATTCAAATAGTTATCTTGCATATCAGAAAGCCTGTGTTGTTGCTAGAGGATTCATGCAGGAATATAGTATTGATTTTGATGAAACCTTAACTTTCATTATTCATCTTACATTTGCATACTCTCATCACTATTTTTGCTTTGTGCAATTGACCTTTATTTCAAATAGATGTCAATAATGACTTTCTAAACGGTGATCTTGAAAAGAAAGTGTTTATACAGTTACCATTTGGTCTTGATATTCCAGCCCAAAAGTTCCATTTATTCTGATGAACTTTTTATGGTCATAAACTAACTCCCAATGCACGGTTCACAAAGTTCAATTGCATTATTTAAGATCTTGGTTACCCTTCCAACTCTCGTGAGCTTTTTATGGTCTTAAACAAGCTCCTTGTGCTTGATTGACAAAGTTCAATTGCATTTTTTAAGATCTTGGTTACTCTTCCAATCCTCATGGATTTGCTCTATTTATTCACCTCTCTTCTAAAGGCACAATATTGTAACTTCTTTACATCAATGACCTATTTGTTATTGGCTATGACAATGAGAATATCTTTGCCCTCAAAAGACATTTCCAACATTACTTTTGAAGTATTTCAATCACTTAAATTTCTTTCTTGGTCTTGAAATATCTTTCGACTTAACTAGTTATTTTCTCTTACAAGACAAATATGCCTCTAATCTTCTTATTCGAATTGGCATCTCTGACTTCAAGTCCACCTTCACACGACTAAAACCACAGTCTTCTCAATTGTACTAATCAAGCGCCTCTATTTGATCATACTTAATATCTTCAACTAGTTGGAGGATTGTTTTTTTTTTTTTTTTTGAAGAAAGCAAGAAGCTGCAAATATTAATAAAAAGAGACTAGAGCAAACAACCAACCGATTCCTCCTTTAACATATCAAGAAAAATAGGAGGAATCTTATTGAAGGTAACATCTTCCCAATCAAAAGAAGAAAGAATAGCATAGTTAGCACAAAGATTTGCTAACTTATTACTATCAGGACTAACCCAATTACAAATAACATGGTTAAACTTTTTAGTAAAAGAGAGATCTTCCATACCTTCTAATCCAGCTTTGATCTTCTTATGAATGAGATTAATGATGTTGATACTATCACCTTCGATGATAATACCATTATACTCAAGCATCCAATCTTTGAATATCTCATTAATAGTTTTGATAGCCAATAACTCCAAATGAGCTATGTCCCAATGAACACATGATCTCCAAAAGGCTAGCAGTAATCTTCCTCTGTGGTCTCGCCATACTCCTGCAACTCCTTTGTACGAGCAAAGCAAAGAAGCATCTACATTGAATTTGATCCAATCGGGTGGAGGAGGATGCCAAGATTTATCCAACAATTCTTGTTGATTGACAACCAACCGGCCCGAATTATGATGTTTACAGATTACCGAAGAAGAAGCAAATCCAATTGCTTCGGTAGCAATAAACAGAGGACTTTTTCCAGTTTTACCAAACACCATTCTGCACCTATCCTTCCAAAAGAGATAAATGGTGCTACAAAAGAGATTCTGTTTCTCCAGCCAATTAAATCTATCAGCAAAAGAATGGCAGCTCTTAATGTCAAAACCCCTATTATTTAAGTGACCTAAAACTTCCTTAATTTTACTGCAGCCGTTAGAGATATGATGTAAATCTTCAACTTCGTTACAGCCTTTAGACAGAGACTATCAGCTTGCAATCTTCTATAGGAAAGAAATTTGAAGGTAGGAATAGAGTTATTAGACATTCTCCACCAGAAATTCTCAACTCTAGCATTGAGTTTAGACTTTTTAATCCATTTCCAGTAAGCTTGAGTCGGGTTATAATCTGCCAATGCCAAAGAGGCTAAGGCAGATATGGATTTTCCAGAGTTATTTTTAACCAATTCAAGCCGATCCTCACCCAGGTCTGAACAAATTTTGATGCTACAAATAAGCTTCATTAGATCAACTCCGCATCTTCTTTCCAGCTCAAGATTATTCCAATTACCTTCAAGGATTATTCCAATTACCTTCATTAGTTGGAGGATTGGCATATCTGACTTTTGCTTGGCCTAACATTGCCTTTACAATTCACTATGTTAGTCAATTTCTTGCTACGCCATGGATCACTCTATGATCATTCAAATTCCTCACTATATACGAGGCACACGGGATTGTGGTATTCATTATTTTGCCCAATTTGTGTTATGCTGGATCAGCATGAGCCTAGTGCTGGTCGCCTAGTCAGCTGATGGACATCCTGCTAATAGGAAATCTATCAATGATATTTGTTAAATCTCCTGCACCTATTTGATCTCGTGGCAAAGCATGATTGTATGAAACAAACAAGGGTTGTTGGTTCAAGCAGTGAAGTTGAATATTGCGCCATTGTTGACACTGGGGGAGATAATTTGGTTTTGATAGTAACTCACAAATATAAGCCATGTTCATTATAGTCCCAATATTCTATATTGTGGCAATCATGGATCTATTGCTATTGCTCATAATGATGTCCATTGAGAGTGGTTATTTACTTGAGGATGCTAGAGATCGTGGTGCTATTGCAATAAAAAGCTTATTTCCATTGAGACTGGTCATCTCTCTTTTTTTCTTTCACCAGAAGAGTCCAAAATGAAATCACGGAGTTTCTTTGAGTTGATGCCAGGAACTTAAGATGTTTATTGCCCTTTTTTCCTTTCTTGAGAGTTGCTTATTCAAGCAGTAAAGGTTGATTTATCAACACTTTCAGGTCATTACCGGGTAACAATATTACTGGTCAAATTCCTGAACAACTTGGAAATCTTTCTAGCTTGACCAGTTTGAATTTGGAAAATAACCTTCTATCTGGAAATATACCAACTTCTCTTGGCAAGCTTTCTAAACTTCAAATATTGTAAGTTTATTTTCTGTCCATTTAAACTCTAGTTAATATTTTTTTATCTTTTATCTCATAATGATACTTAAATCTTTGATGACATGAGCAGGATTTTGAGCAACAACAATCTCACTGGTGATATTCCTGATTCCCTATCTAACCTCTCAAACTTAAATGACATGTAAGATTTAAAATCGACAATGTTGACCTCTAAGTCTAATTCTAAACGTGGTAGATTAGAGTCACTTTACATTGCTGGGCTAACCCTTGCAATATTTATTTTCCTTTTATTTGGATGTGTGATGATAGAATTTGTTTCTTTTTCACCTAAATACAGACATGGCTATATTTTTTGTTGCAGTCGCCTGGAATCCAATCATTTTAGTGGGCAGATACCTAAAAGACTCTTTCAAGTTGTTAGATACAAGTAAGTGAATATTCTTGCTTTATTACTATTCTCAGCATAAGGACCTTAGTACTCTTTGCATTATCATGCACCTCTTTGGTCAATCCTTCAGATTTCCTATTCCTTCAAAAATGGTCTGACCTTGTCTTTGCACAGCTTTACAGGTAACAATCTAAATTGTGGGGGAAGCTTTTCTTTACCTTGTGCATCCAATATTACTGATCCTGGTAAATTATCATCATTCTATCACCTAATCTGAAAACATTTTCATCCATTTTTTGTTGAAATGTTCCATTTATGGAGTACTTGACATCTTTGTGTATGTATTGCATGCGTATGGAGTCTTGAAACATGACCTTAGTGTCTGTTGCCTTGAAATTTTGCAGGAGGATCTCATAGTTCAAATGTTGGAGTAATTCTTGGAAGCATTGGAGGTGCAGTAGTGCTCATTATTGCTGTGGTTTTCTTTTTACTTTGTAAGGGGAAGAAGAAGGGTCATCAACCTGAAGTCTTTGTTGATGTTCCAGGTCTGTACAGTGCACTATAATGGTGATATGTCTTAAACAATGCTGTGATTAATGTTGGTTCTTCTTCTATGCAAAGCTACCATTTCTGCACCATTACTAATAAATAGTGTCTTTCCTTGTTTCTTTCAAGTAGATTTTTGAAGGATAATGAAAATTTCAAAGATGATTTAAATTCTTAATTGATTGTATAAATAGTCCCAAATACCTTGAGCTTCACTGAATTCTTCTTCCTCACTCATGTAGGTGTCACTAGTATGCAAACTTAAACTTTTCCATTCCTTTATCTTACTGAAATTGATATTTTGGCTTTTGTGCTTCTCTTGAACTCTGCTATGTAGGTGAAGATGATAGAAGAATTGCATTTGGGCAACTTAAAAGATTTTCATGGCGTGAACTGCAAATCGCAACTGACAGCTTCAGTGAAAAAAATGTTCTTGGACAAGGTGGTTTTGGCAAGGTGTATAAAGGAGTTCTTAATGATAATACAAAGATTGCAGTGAAGCGGTTGATTGATTATGAAAGTCCTGGTGGAGAAGCTGCATTTTTGCGCGAAGTCGAGTTGATTAGTGTTGCTGTCCATAGAAACCTTTTACGGTTGATTGGTTTCTGCACCACACCAACGGAACGGCTTCTGGTGTATCCTTTTATGCAAAATTTAAGTGTTGCCTACTGCTTACGAGGTAGTATTTTTTTCATTTTACTTTTTCTTTTTCTTTTTTTCATTTATGCGAATCACTGCTGTGATTAAATATGTTGATGTTTTTACATATTCATATCATGTGTCCTATATTGTAATCTCATGATGCATATGGATCTTTTCTTTTCCTTATCCATGAGCTCCTTTGTTAGATTTGTTACTTACAGATTCTGAGTATCACTTTATGTTTTCATTTCTAACGTTACTCCCATTTTTCTACCACATCCGTATGATCGCCTATGTATAGATTTTCCTGTGTTTCTGGACGACCATACAATGCTTACTGTGGCGTGTGTAAGTTGCAAAATTTAGATATGTTTTATTAATAAATCTGTTGTTGTGTTTGTTGATCGATAAATCACATTGATATTCATTTCTTTGAAAATTGATTTCTATTATATATATATATATATATATATATTCTTCTCTTCAAAAATTTTTTTTGCTGAATACTTTTATGTTTCTACGACACATTGTGCTTTTGCAGGTAGTAACTCATGCATGAAAGAATGATAGTGGCCATTTCAATATTAAAACCTGCAGCATTTACTCCTTTTTCCTAGTCTGATTTCTGAAGAATTTCTAAGTTGATTCTAGTTATTTTTTCAGAAACTGATGCTATTCTATGAAGCTAAGGTCTTTTTTGCGCTTGGCTGCTGACATCAGAATTGATAAAATAGAAATAAATCACTCGCAAGGATATTCTCTTTAATTTAGTTTATAATTTGTTCTACATTTATCCTACAGCACAGAAAAATGCACAAGTCTTTTGGCATCAAACTTGCATTTCACTTATGCTGTTTCAATTCATATTCGTTTGTTGTTATTTGCCTATTTTCATTCAATCTCCCTACGCTTTAGAATGTACTATCAAATCATCAATCGAGCTCTGAATAGGCTTGTTGTAACTTGTAAACTGGACCTACCACTCTGCAAACTCTTCTACTCTTGACTGTGTAGGTTCTATTAACTTTTATTTAGCCTGAAGAACAACATTTGCTAGTTTTCATGGCATTTTCTGTCACGACCCGGCCCGGATGCTCGATCTACGAGGCGGGTACGGAAAGTCGGACGATAAAATTTATTAAACATAATATTACAACATTCATGATAAAGAGCCACTAAAACACAAAAATCTATATTACCTGTTGTCATTTGCACCTCGTCTTCTGTAAACATGCTCTTCTCTTTCAGCCATTATTTCTTTAGGAACTTACCTGAAACATTTAAACTTGTGGTTTGAGTTTACTAAGTAAACTCAGTGGGTAACTATATAAATTTATATAAAAATATAATTTAACATATATTCTTTCCTTTCTTAATCTTGTTTATTTCATTTATATTAACTTAATACTTCTTCTTTGAATATTTTCATTTAAAATAATTTGGAACATTTGTTATCTTTAATATTTCATTTATATTTCCTTTTCCCATTTAATTTGCACAGGAGCACCGTCTCAAAGTACCTAAAGGTACACCTTTTCCATTTAATTTCCTTTTCCCCATTTCCATAGAGATTTCTTTTTCCCTTTTTTTTCGTGCACGAGTACGGCGTCCCCAGCCAGTACTATAAGGGGGTGACTCCTGTCGTTTTCAATACCCTTTTTCTTTTTTTTCCTTTTCTTTTCTCATTTTCATCATTATTGATACAATTGCATACAACATATCTTACTTGTATCTCTATAAATATTACTTATCATTTGCATATACGAATCATGTACATGTGTATGTTTTCTTTCTAAACTTTACTTTCTATTTCTTTGATATACTCATAACATATCCTTTTTCTTTTCTATAATTGTACTCATATAGTCGTTGCTTTATTTTAGTTAATCATTTCTCCAAAAGTAGGAGAAATCATAAATCTAATCAATTTCGCATATACTTCTTTCTAAACGAAAATAGAATTGAAATAAAGAAATTTAAACTTTATAATACCCACTTTGAACTTTTCAGGTCGTCGATGCTTGATATATTCTTGAATCAATTTCTCTTCTTGCTAAATCCTCGCGGGATCAACACTTATGACTTGATCTTTCACTTTCAAAAACCCTAATTTCAAACAATAACTTCTATCAAAATAATATTTTGATTTAAATTCTAAATATCATTAAAACTGAAATTGGAAGGAATTCACTTACACTTTTGAATGGAGACTTCTCAAACTCTCAAAATCCTTCTTTTCGAAATTTCCTTTTTCTTCGCTTCAATTCTTTCCTTATCTTTCAAGAAACATATCACTCACTTTAAACGAAGTAGGAGAAGAAATTTATAGAAAAAAAATTAGAAAGAAATTTAACAAACCTTCTTCTCTTAATCCTTCTCGTCCGTTTCTCTTGTTTTTCAATTTCTCCCAAAATAACTCTCTGATAACGATAAGAATGAAAAGGAATCGTTATTTCTTATCCTAGAAGGTAATCATTTGCTAAAATTGGAGAAAGAAGAAACCTACCTCGCTCTCGCGTGAAGCCCGACCGTCCGCCCTTCTCTGTTCGCGCGAACAATTCCGTTCCGCGAACTGTTCTGTTCGCGGTATTAAAAAGGCGGGCCGGCCGGTTCGGTTGAACCGGCCGGAAGAACCGGTTATCACATTTTCCCTCATGAGTGAAGAAAGATATTATTTCCTTAGAGTTTTTTCCTACCACCAATACTCAAAATTCATCTCCTTTGCCTGTACCCTTCTACCTGGTGCTCTTTTGCCTCCTTGCATCCAAGTGAAGTGCTATTGGTAGCAATGAATATCTCATGATAGGTTAGGTGAAGAGTCCCTATTGCCTATTCCTAAGTATTTGGGTTGCTCTTGTTAATTCTTGTTTATCGATCTTTTCTTTGTAGGGTTGCAGTTTGTGTTAGCGACAGTTTATTTAGATCTTCCTGCTCAACTAATGCTCCTTTTATCTCTTTTTTTGCAAGTTTACTTCCATTCATTGCACATAAATTTCATAACCAATTTTCCTGTATTTTATCCGCTTTCCCTTATATGTGCCCACCAATCACATAAATCTATTTTTATCTTTTAATATCTCAGACCCATTAAAATAATCAATTGATGATTTCTTCATTGCCCAATACTAGGCCTACATAAAGCATATCTGGCTTTATTGTTATTTATTTATTTATTGGAACTCAAACATAATCATTTTAATCATTTAAATCTTCACTGTAGTAGATATATCTTCATGGATGTCCCTATCACTTTATGTTATAGAACCGAGAAATTTAATTCTATTTTATTCATGTATAACGTAATGTTTTGCTACTTCTAACTATTTTTACTAATTTTTACATTATTTAAGTTTGTTATTCATGCAGTTTTCATTTTTTTTGCTCCTATTCGTTTACTTCGCAACTAAATCGAATTGTTAAAACCAAGGCAGTTTTAAGTAGCATCCGACAAGGAACCTTATTTGAAGTATCTGCTGTAACGATATTATGATCAATATAAGTAGAAATAACCTCATTTGAAATTTTGCCAAAACCATGCAGTTGGAAATTCTTTTGGTAGTGCTAATTTATTAAAAATTAATTCATCATATTTATCATTAATAACGTGATAAAACCTTTGATGCAATGGCTAAAGTAGCATTTGACGTGAAGTTTGGTGGGAGTAAGAGATGCAGGGGAATGTATTAGGAGTGATTTTAGAAATCGTGGATTTTGAGAGGTGGAAGATTAAAGAGTAGAAGGAAATTGTGGATTTTGAGAGGTGGAAGATCAAAGAGTAGAAGGAAAAGGCATGAATCTGAGCATAGATGTCAATAGCACAAAATGGCTCGCGCCATGACGCACATATGGCGTTATTTGCTTTGTGCGGCGCAGCGTGGCTCGTCAAAATAGTGCGCGCTTTTGCGTCATGCATGCGCAATGCTGCATGACGCACGCTATTTTATTAACTTCTTATAAGTTTCAAATTATAAATTATAATTAAATTTTTAAAGGTTTATAATATTAATATCACAATTAATTATTAATTAATTAAACATCAAATTAATAAAATGTCATAAAATTTTAAAGGATTTAATTATTTAGTAGGATTTAAAGCTATCATTTTTGCTATTTGGCGGGCTTTAGGCTAAATTATACTTAAATCCTGCTCAAATCTATTGATGTAAGTTTTTGTAGGATTTAAAATTATCATTTTTCCTGTTTGACAGCATATTTATGTTTAAATTTTACTCTAATCAACTTATTATTTGCTATTTAATGGTATTTAATATTAATAAATATATATATTTTAATTATTTTATATTGTGCGTCATGTTTAAAATGGCGTGCATCGCGCCGTGTGCTATGCACCATGGCTTCACAGGTAATTTGCACTGTGGTGCGCCATTCTCCATTGATAAGTATGGATTTGAGTTATTTTGTGTTGGTATATTTTGTGAGGAGCTTAAGGGGAAATTAAGTTTGGAGTTTTGAGGGGTATGAACACTCTTTGTAAAGGACATTAAAATAAAGGATATGATATTTAGGGTGGTTATGTAGAGGTTTTGGTGTGAATAGTGAAAGGATGGTTGATTGGCTAAATTTGGATAGTATTTTGATGACTTAGGTATTTTATGAATAACTTGACGAGTAGTGTGAGAGCTTTGAGAGAAGCTTTATAATACTCAAAGGTGATATATAAATGAGAGATACTAAAAAAATTACACAAATAAAAAAAAAAGAATTAAACCTATCAGCAAAGAAGGATCTATGAGGTTATCAAACTAAAGATAAGGGGTTAGCCACAAGCTTTCCCCAAGGAGGAAGACAATACTTCACCAAAAGATTTCCATTTCATCTCAATACCTTTTTTACAGAATGCATGGTATTTATATATATTACACATAAGGAGAAGATAAAGAATTCAAATGATAGTCTAATTACAAAAAATGCACATTGAAAGCTTTTGATTCCATAACTTCATTTTTGAAATTCAAAGAAATTTAGTTTCATTTTTGTATTAATCTTTTCTTTATTTATGCATTTTGTTAATTACACTAATAGAGCCCTAGTTAGAAAATGTTCCTTGCGTTTAATCAAATTGATTTTTTGATATTGATGTGATACTTGATTTTGCATATCAGATAGGTTTCTATGAAACAATAGAAGTTAACGGAAGTCTTGTGGTAACGTAGATCTTCATAGCACATAGATTCCATAACTTCATTTTTTGAAATTCAAAGAAATTTAGTTTCATTTAATGAAGTTACTAGAAAATGTAAAAGCATTGTAAAAGTTTTTAAAGATGTTTAGTCATGTTTGTTTTGACTTGGTTTTTAATGACGACAAAATAAGATGGCAAAGGTGATGTGATATGTGGAGCCCACTTTAGACTAAATTCTAGCTCGCATTATATTTTTAAATTTGTTCCATTCTTATATTACAAAATGACATTCTCTTTGAGTTGAAATAAAAAAATGCACAATGAAAATAACAAAATACGAATAAAGTGTTAGAGAATAAATGTCCACAAGTAGAAATTGATGTGGTGATTAGTTTGCGCTAAAATTGCTCTGCATCAACTTTACATATAATTTTCTTCTCAATATCCCAAAAATATGTTTGTATGATTCTTACTCATGTTGGTTTAAGATTAGCAAAAGTTATATTAAAATATTTCTTTATTTATGCATTTTGTTAATTAAGATTAGAATCTTTTCTTTTTATTTATACCAATATCCCAAAAATATGTTCCTATGATTTTTACTCATATGTTGGTTCAGATTAGCAAAAGTTGTATTAGAATCTTTTCTTTTTTTATGCATTTTGTTAATTACACTAATAGAGCCCTAGTTAGAAAATGTTCCTTGCGTTTAATCAAATTGATTTTTTGATATTGATGTGATACTTGATTTTGCATATCAGATAGGTTTCTATGAAACAATAGAAGTTAACGGAAGTCTTGTGGTAACGTAGATCTTCATAGCACATAGGAATTAGGAGAGTAGACTTCTTATATGGAAAACCCCAAAAAGAAAAACAATCCTGGTGCATAGCCTTGTAAACAGCTTCTATTATGTTGTTAAAAATTAGTATAAAGATTGTTCACCTTTGAACTGGTGGAGGGACTTCAGAAGAGATATTTGATCTTTATGCTAAATTATTTAAGCACAAGGGGATTATGTGCCTATTTTTGAAATGAGGGAGAGCGGAGTGCAAATGAGGCAAAAACCATGGGAAGGTGAAGTTTTCTTTATTATTCATTTTATAATAATATTTATGTAGAGCTTCTTGCATTAGGCTATGTATTATTACGCATTACTTCCAATTAGTGTGCAAAGAATGTCTATGTTAATATTTTTTTTGTATGCAGAAATATGCTTTGACTCACCTAATAATTTTCCCTTCTGTCTTGCTAACAAGGTTGTATGAATTATATGCAGTTTGTTATCCAATTTAAATGCAACTTTTATAAGCTAAACTCCAATTACAGTGCCATCTTTTATACTATTTGATAGATATTTACCAATAATAATGCAGATTTCAAACCTACGGAGCCAGTATTAGATTGGCTTACCAGAAAACGAGTTGCTTTAGGCACAGCTCGTGGATTGGAATACCTTCACGAGCACTGTAATCCTAAGATTATTCATCGGGATGTAAAAGCTGCTAATGTGTTACTCGATGAAGACTTTGAAGCTGTTGTTGGAGATTTTGGCTTAGCTAAACTGGTTGATGTGAGGAAGACTTCTGTGACAACTCAAGTTCGTGGAACGATGGGTCATATAGCACCTGAATATCTATCCACAGGGAAATCATCAGAGAGAACAGATGTTTTTGGTTATGGAATTATGCTTCTTGAACTTGTGACGGGACAGCGTGCCATTGATTTTTCACGATTGGAGGAAGAAGATGATGTATTACTCCTGGATCATGTATGTTTCTATCCTGAGCTTTTAATAACCAAATTTTAGTGCTAGCTTATTTGATATGAATTTTTATGCTATTTTTAATACTCTAGTTTTTTGGGTCTAAGGTTGGCATATACCAGCTGTTGCAAAGAGGTTGGTATGGGTGCTAATCAGAGTGGATCAATATTGGGGTTAATATGAAAATTCAACTCTAATATGATATATAAAATTCAGGTTCAGATCAACTTATGTAGGATTCATATTAAGGTTTAGTTTTTCTTTCTTCTTTCTACAACAACTTTTTAAACAAAAATTTCTTAGAAGTATTAAAAAAAAAAGTTGTCAAAAGCTATCTCAAATGAAGCCTAAGTTCATATTGAGTCTGTAATGTCTTGAGCCTGCTTCGATCTCTTGGAATCATGGAAGCTGAAGATGGAGGTTTTGAAGAAGGCGAAGAGAGCATAGAAGATAGAGAGTTGGTTCCGTCCGTGTAGTCGGGGAAGATGGAGTTTGTTTCAACGCTTGGTATCATGAGTAGATAATTTAAATTTAAAATGAGAGAGAGATGAGGAGAAACCAAGAGAAAAGGATTGAGAGAGAGAGAGAGGAAGAACTTTTAATTAGAGGATGATCACGCAGGGATCGAGCATTTGTGTGATTGGGAGCAGCAGTTGTACACAAGAGATGAAGGCGAGAATAAGACACGAGCTCGATGAGAGGGGGAAACGCACTTGGGCGAGAGTGCTAGGGCACGAGTAAGTTCCAAAAAAGTTAAGAAATTTATAAATATATAGTTATCAAATTTTTAGGATTGTTGTATATAATAGAAAAATAAAGTCAATACACAAAAACACAATAATTTTACATAGGTTTACTCAATTAATGAATATGACTTTATGTCGTCGTTATAAATTTCATTATGGGATGACTTAGGGAATTAGAATAAATTTTTTAAAACATTCTTAATGAAATAATCATAAATATTCAATTCATGATCAAGGTTTTGTTTTGGATGACTTTCTTCTTGTTTTATAAAAAAACTTTTACAAAACAAAAATCTCATGAATTTGAAAATTTTGTACTAAAAAGCCGTTTTAAAAAGCAGTATGAAAGCTGTCCCAAATGAAGCCTAAGTCAGGATAGCATCATAAGGAGAAGTTAGATTCTACAGCTTGACATTTATTTGTCCTAACAGTTTAGAGGCATTTTATTCACACTTGAAACTGTCAACTCTTTGCAATACAGGTAAAGAAATTGGTAAGAGAAAAGCGGCTTGATTCTATCATCGATCGAAACTTGAAAAAGAACTACAATGCCGAGGAGGTGGAAAAGATGATTCAAGTCGCTCTTCTATGCACGCAAGCAACACCCGAAGATCGTCCAACCATGTCCGAGGTGGTGCGAATGCTCGAAGGGGAAGGATTGGCAGAGAGATGGGAGGAATGGCAACAGGTTGAGGTCACCAGGAGGCAAGAATATGAAAGGCTTCAGAGGAGATTTGATTGGGGTGATGATTCCGTTAATAACTTGGATGCTATTGAGTTATCTGGCGGAAGATGATGCTTTCCTACAGTTTTCTTTTTCTTTTTTTTGTCAAGAATGTATTTTGTGCTTCAAAATGTGTGCATTCTACAATCAGAGGTTTATTCTTGTTATGTATTTGTATGCTCGTTTCATTACACAGTAGACGGGCAGAGTTAATAAAGTGTTGCGGGTTGTATGTAAGATGGAAATATTTACCGTTTTTGTCCTTCCATAGATTATTACGACCTGCCTCTACACAACTTGAATTTGTTCCTATGATTTTTTTGAAGTTAAGGTTAAAGGATATCATTGCAATTTATGTATATATTTATTATGTAATATTTTTTAATGAATTATATATAAAAAACACTAAATAGGCATTGCAGTCTGATGAGGCCATTATTGCTGTGTTAAGCAGCAGCAGGGCTCACTTAGGTTTCATTTGGATAATTTTTTTATTATTTTTTAATATAGTTTTTAGTTAAAAAATTTATTTAAAAATTATTTTAAGAAGTAGCAAAAAAAGTCATCCCAAATGAGGGCTTAATTGAAAATTTTTTCTTAATTTTTTTTAATGTGTAGAATAAAGTTTGTCCCTTTAATTTCACCACTTTCTTTCTCTGTCATTTGAGTTTCACTATGGCAGCAATAGAGAAAATTATTAGGTCCGGTCATTAGATGTAGAAAAATGTTCGGACACCAATAAAATATTGACATGTGGAATGTACACGTGTCCGTGGAATTTTAAATCAAGCATGTCAAAAGCGCAGGTAAAGTGTAGGTAAAATGTAGTAAAAAAACGCAGTCAAAAAGCGCAATTCATGTGGCATGTTTTTATTGGATGTTCGGACCTAATAATTTCCCCAGTAATAGAGGTGCATATAAATTAACACTACTATTGTCATGTCCCAAGTCCTGGATGAGAAAAGTGGAGGGTTGCGTTAGTTAGTCGATAGCCAGTGTAAAACTTATCGAATAATAATGACATGAATCCTTTAAGAAATTGTGTTAATGCTATGACGTCTCTTGGAAGCGATGTGCTGTATGGCCTGAATACAATGACAAGTGTGCAAGGGCCGCTGCACTGGCGCCCGGTGTAGTGTTGAATAGGTAAGGGCTCCCACATTAAGGACGGATGTGGGCAAAGAAGCTAGTCCATGAAACTAAAATTAGGATAGGAACTTGGAATATAGGTTCCCTTATAGAAAAATTAATGGAATTAATATATATTATGTTTCATAGGAAGATAAATATTTTGTGCATTCATGAAACTAAATGAGTTGGAGAGAAGGCTAACGAAATTAATAATTTAGGATTTAAACTTTGGTATTCAGGTAGGAGTCGTACTAAAAATGGTGTAGGTGTTATTATAGATAAGAGTTTGAAAGATAATATTATAAAAATTAATAGGATTAGAGATAGAATTATAACTTTAAAGATTATTGTTGATGATAATATTGTTAATATTATAAGTTGTTATGTCTCTAAGTAGGTTTGTAAATATGAGTTCTAAATTAATTTTTGGATGACTTAGAAATTTATTAAAAGTATCCTTAAAAAGAAGAGTTTTTATTGATAAGGATTTAAATGGATGTATGAAGAGGGTTAGATGATTTTTAAAACTTCATGTGTTGCTTTGTTTTGAGAACAAAATGAAGGTCCGGGTAAGATCATTATTAATTTTTATGTTTTAGCTTATGATTTTTCAATTGCTAATATTATTTAAGAAAAAGGAATGAAGCATCTCATCACTTAAAAAATATATATACATACAACCAGATGACTATTTTCTTATAAGAAAATTAGATCGTTTTTACGATTGGCAAAATGTAAGAATATTTACCGAAGTGAAAAATTTATTATATCCCACATCGGATTATTAGTTTTTGGACTTTAAGATAAAAGGAGCACAATAATAAAGAATAAAGTAAACGATAATCTATGATTAAAGATGGACGGCTCTTAAAAATATTAAAAAAGAATGATTTTTTGAGAGTAAGATTTAGATCTTAAGATTTTTATCTATGCATTGAGGATGCTAATGTTATGTGGGTAAAAAGTGGTAGTGAGTATTAGAATATTGCAAACAGATGTGCTTGAGTATCAAATGAAAAAACTCCTAATATAAAAATAGTTGAGTGGTGTAATCAATGTGCGAAAAGGAATTAAGAATAAGAAGATTTGTTTATAAAATATTAATTTAAACTTTAAAATATTCTATAATTGGGAAAGATATAAGAGAGGTCGTAAGAAATCTAAGAAAGTAATCATGCGATACAAAACATTAGCTTTTTAGTAATTTATATAATAGAAAGATACTGAAGGATAAAAAGATATATGTATAAGTTAGCACAAACAAAGAGATATAGTAGTCAAGGATTTAGTTCAAGTGAATGTATATAAGGATGAAGATCAAAAAATTTTTCTTAGAAGATAATATTCAACAATAGTGAATGGGATATTTTGCTAAACTTTTAATGAAATTGTGTAATAAGATTAGCTGTAATGACTCTTAGCACACTGTAAATGAAAATAAAGATGTCTTTTTTTATCGACGTATTAGTAAAACTGAAGGTTAGAGAGGCTTTAAAGAATGATGGTGGAAAGCTTGGACCTGATGATATTCATCAATAAGGTGTGGAAATGCTTAGGAGATTAGAAGAATTTCTGCTTACTAAACTTTTTAATACTATTTTGAAGACTAAAAGATAGCAGATGAGTGGGAATGAGTGTGTATATTCCTATTTTTTAAGAATAAGGGATGCACAAGATTGTGGGAATTATAGAGGTTTAAGTTAAATGTGTCAATACTTTAAAACTATGGCGAGTTATGGAGCATAGGCTGTGCGTGATTATGATGTTTTCTCAAAATCTTAATTGGATTCATGCCGGGGTAGGTCGACTATGGAGCATAATTTATTAAGAGGTTTTGATTGGAGAAATATAGAGAAAATAAGAGTTACATTGATTTTATTGATTTAGAAAAGCATATGATAAAAGTTCCAAGAAAGTGCTATCGAGAGTTTTTGAAAAGAAGGAGTAATATGCTTATATCAAATCATTAAAGATATGTTATGCAAGAGCTATTACTTGTGTTTCAACACAAGGTGGATTACCAAGTATTTACCTATTTCGTTGGGTTACATCAAGGCTCAGCCTTAAGTCCATATCTTTTTGTTTAGTCATGGAATGTTCTCACTAGAACATTTGCAAGAGTGATGTACTTGATGTATGCCTTTTTGCTGATGATATTCTTCTTGTTGATAAGACTAGAGAGGGATTGAAGGTAAACTTGAATTATGGAGGTCAATTTAGAGATATAATTTTCCTTGAGTAATCTAAAAGGAATATATAGGATGTAATTTTTAGTATAATAGACTAGTGAGGGGATTGTGACTTTGGGCGATCAGTCATTAATAAGTTAATATTTTAGAATATCTTGGTTATTGTTAGAGTGTGGGTGAAATTAGATGGAGATATTATCAGCAAAATTCAAATTGGTTGGTTGAAGTGGAGGAATGCATCGGGCTTGTTGTGTGATAGAAAAGTACCCCTCAAATTTAAGGGAAAATTCTATAAGATGGTAGTGAGGCCTGCAATGCTTCATGGTGCTGAATATTGGCCACTAAAAGAGAAGCATAATACTAAGTTAAGTGTGACAGAGATGAGGATGCTCAGGTGGATGAGTGACTTTACCCTTAGAGATAGGATACGAAATGAGCATATACGTGAAAAGGTGGGAGTAGCTCCAGTAGAAGATAATATTAGAGAGAGTTGCCTTAGATGGTTTGGTCACATAAAACGGTAGCCTTCCAATGACCCGGTTAGGAGAGTAGAGGTATTAGATTTGACTTATGTTACGAAAGGTAGAAGCAGACCTAAAAAGACTTGGTTAGAAAATATTATGAATGACCTTTCTTTATTAGATTTAAACGAAAATATGACCTTTAATAGGACAATGGAGAAAAAGAATTCATGTAGTCGACCCCACGTTGTGGGATAAAGGTTTGATGTTGTTGTTGAGAGGTGCATATAAATTGTCAAGCCATTACAACTTACTTGCAACTCAATTGTTATTGTATAATTAAACTAGCTAATACTTGCAATTTGAGATTTATCATGCATTTTATATTTTCTATAGGAAATTAGAGAGAAACCTAAGATAAATATCTCCATACTATTTAGATTGCGTGGTCATAAGGGAAGGGCATTTGATCACATCGCACACAAAATTATTATATTTATATATTTAAAAAATTAAAGCATATGATTTATTCTCGTTATGCCATAAAAAATCACACTCTCATCCTCTCCATTACAATCCATCATCAAACTCATCACTTTTTGCATGTCACTGGTCTCATCACCCTTCAACATGATATCATTGTCATTTCTTTCTCCTTCTTGTTCGCATGTTAGCAATCTCAATGTCACGAAAAATTATTCAGTGCGGATGTCGAACGCTATTCAGAGACCAATTAAAATGCGCTACATCATGCTTGTGCTCGGTACTGCTCAGTACCGCTTGATATCGTGGCTCGATACCACTGATATGAAACATTCTAGTTGATCTCCGAATGAATGTCGTCCGATCTCCACGTAGAATAGTTTCTCCAATCTCACAGACGACCTTCCCCATCAAGATCCCTACAGATTTTCTCTTTTTATTTTTTAATCTTTCTTCATATGTCACAGATCTCATCGATTATCTTTCTCATCAAAATCTCATCACGACTTCCTATCTCTTATTTATCCCTGATGAGATCCCACAAGTTTTGTTAAGAATATCCATGTTTAAAATTGCGTATTCGGGTATTGAGGCATTTTTCATTCGTGAGGCGAGGCGTAAGCCTCAAGGAGTTTTGAGGCGTAAGCCTCAAAATCAAAAGATTGCATAAGCATAAAATGATAAATTTTTTATTTACTAATGAGTGAATAATATAAAACATAAGTTATGAAGTGAAATCAAAATATCCCAATAATAAGACAACATGAAATATAGTTCAACTCAAAATTCTATCTTTCCCAAATCCTAGTATTCTTTTCATTAACATATAATTCTAATTTTTAAAAATAAATAGCAATGACATATCACATAAGAACTCATAGGTCATCAACACTGTCATCACTAAGGGGTTCTTCATTTGAATCATCATTATGATGAATTGCTCTCTCCCCTTCGTCCTCTCCTATAGAGTCTAATGTCGGGCATTTACTTTAAGATTTATATAAGTTTTAATATATATAGCGTGAGGCGTAAGCCTCATGTCAGTGAGGCGAGGCGGGCCTCAACCAAGTTGAGGCGCAAGCCTCATAAAAAAAACTCGAGGCGTAAGCATCGAGGCGTTTTTTTACTGGAATTGCGCAAAGGCGGGCCTCAAGGCGAGCTTCATATTGCGCAATTTTAAACCATGAAGAATATAATGAAGTATTATATTATATAAATAGTAAAATTTAAATGTTAATTATAAAAATAAGATAGTTTGAAGATTATGTATGTAAATCCCACATTGCTTAATCATTAACTAGATTGAAGGGAATCTCCCATGGGGCCAACCTATTAGGAGTAAATTGATGTCTTTCTTAGTGTTGATTGAATGCTTTTGGATTAACGGTGAAGCTCTCCCAAAGCTAACAATTACATTACTTCATCTAAACAAAACTTGTAACCTTCCCTGCCCACACGCTGATGAATAAATTAGCTTGGAAAGTTCAGACATCTCAACTATACAGGAAGACCTAACTGTAGAAGAAACATCGAAACAGAACATATAAAATTCCATTCAATTCAGCTTTCGGCTTTTCGTCTGCTGTAGGCTGTAGCCAAAGAGGCGCCATGGTTTATAGCAGACAAATATATCTTAAATTTCGTTTGTTCTAGCCAAAACTTAGGATAACCAAATACAGAACCATCACATTTCACAAGAATCCTAAAACACAGTTAAGAAATATACTAAAAAATCTGCATAAAGACAAACTCCAGAGGAGGAAAACCCTAGTACAAAAGCATGAACAAAACCCTAATCGACAAAACAAAACTAGACCTCATCCTCGTGTAAAAGCATATTTGGGATACCCTTACTGATTGGAAAGCGACGGCCAGTCTCGGGGCAGACGAGCGCACCTTCCTCGACATGCAGCTGGAGGAGGGCGCGATGAAATCGGCGAAGAAAATCGTCGTCGGAGTCGAGAGCGGAGGGATTTGGAGCGTCCTGTGGGAGGAGATCGTGGCATCCGAGAGAACGAACGGCGCCGACCAGAGCGGGCCACTCGATCTTCGGGAAGACGCCGCGGAGGAAGTCAGCGTTTAAGTCCACTTCCTTCTCCACCCACTTCTCCGCTTCGAGACGAAGAGGGTAGCCGTTGGTCACCCCCTTTATGTTGCAGGCCAGCATATTATGCGTCAAAAGCCTCATCGAGATCGAGAGAGAGACAGAGCTGTCTTTCTTGTTCCGTCCTCGCTCTTTTGATCGTTCTTTCTGCGAAATGTTGAGATTTGTTTTTCTTATATAAGATTAAAATAAAAAAAAGACTTTATTCCCACAATAGCAGAAATTTAAAAAATATTTATTTTTATAAAAATAAATCTAAAATTCTAATCAGACTAAAATAACTTCAGTTTTTTGCGTAGACTATTTTTTTAAGGTCATAACAATCAAACATAATTCAAACACGATTCAATCAAGTCAAACAAGTTTTAAACAAAATTTAAATTAAAAAAAAAATTAGATAATATAAAAAAAAAATCAATTCATAATCAAACATTATTCAAATCCTATTCCAACAATGTGTTATGATTTGAATGAACTTAATATATTGTCTAATATGATTTGCACAATGCTCGATTACGATTTAATTATATTAAGTAACATAGTATAATATGTTAGAATACAATCGTAACAGTTATAATCGGGGGCAGCCCACCCTCAAAAATTAAATAAATGTATTATATGAAGGGTATTTTAGATATTAATGATCTCACCAGCCCTAATTTGCTCTAACAATAAAAAAAAACTTAGCTGGGCTTTCCATTCGAAAGAAGAAAGCCATCTCCAAATCCCTCATATAAAATTCCATTCAATTCAAGCTTTTTTATTTTCATTATTTTTTTTCATCAACTTTAATTATGCTTAGTAATTGGAATAAAGAATCATTGACAAGTGAAACTATTGTCCGAGTTTTCTATTAGAATTAGTAATATAGTTGAGGCTTCCTATAGGAGATCAGACGCTCTTAAAGCTATTTAACATAATAATATAGTTTTACATCTTAAAGCTTACAATTTAATAAGTAATCGAGATTTAAATCAAGAGACTAATTTACAAAGATGTGGGGATGCTCGATGGACTCATTTTCATACTTTTATTAGTCTCAAGAGAATGTATGCTTCTGTACTCGATGTGCTTGAAATTCTTAAAAAGGAATGGGTGCATGATCAACAGTCAGTTGAAGTAGGTGTTTTGATTGATATAATGGAGTTTTTTTATTATATTTTCATAATGCATTTAATGATTGATATTTTGAAGATTACAAATGAATTATCAAATCATTAAAAAGAAAAGATCTGGGCATTAAAATGTGATGAAATTAAGACAAGTATCTAAACAACGATTGTAAATACTAAGGGAGAATGAATAGAGTGCTTTATTAGATATAGTGTCATATTTTTATAGTGTTTTTTAAATTGATATTCTAAATATGAATGATACATACAAAACTCATCGTCGATCAGTTCGAAAAGTTGAAGAAATAATAAATCTATATCATTTTCTTCAACTTCAAAAGTTAAATACTCATTTTTTCAGAATCTAGAACTTAGTTATTTCTTTGTGTGACATGCTTAAACCTAAGTAATTCCTTCTAGCTTATGATGATAAGAAGTTGATACATCTAGCAAAATTATATCTAAGTGATTTTTTTACAATTGAGCTTGTGTCTCTTAAAAGTCAGTTATCAACCTATATTATTGATATGCATATCATTGATGAGTTCTCATATCTAAATAGTATTGCTGATCTTGCAAAATAAATTATAAAGGTAAAGAAGGATGATGTATATCATTTGGTTTATAGAATTTAGTATAAACTTTACCAGTTGGTACTGCTACAGTGAAAGAGCATTCTATATAATGAGGATTGTCAAACATCGATTACATAGTATGATGAGTGATGATTAGCTTAATAAATGTCTTGTGTCTTGCATTAAAAAATATATATTTAATTTGATTACCAATGAAAAAATTATAATAAACATTATAAGAAAATATAAACAAATTGATAAGCTTGTATCAATCATAATGAAATAGAAATTTTTGCTTCAAATTATGAATGCATTTTATTTTTTTAATATAAGTTCATTCATTGAAAAAGTTTTTCATCATTAAATGAAAAGCTAGTTTCACCCTTGGTCGTAATATAATAAAGCGCAATCACAAGAACTATAACTTAGCATGTTCTGCAAGAATGTTGAAGAAGTATGCTTATTTAATATATTGTCATAACACATAACACATTATACTATGTGTTATGATTTGAATGAATTTAATATATTGTCCAATATGATTCGCACAATGCTTGATTATGATTTAATTATATTAAGTAACATAGTATAATATGTCCCAAAAAAAACATAGTATAATATATTAGAATGCAGTCGTAACAGTTATAAACAGGTGCCAGCCCACCCTCTAAAAATAAATAAATGTATTATATGAAGGGTATTTTGGATATTATTGACCTCACCAGCCCTAGTTTGCTCTAACAATAAAAAAAAAAAACTTACCTAGGCTTTCTTTTCGAAGGAAGAAGGCCATCTCCAAATCCCTCATATAAAATTCCATTCAATTCAAGCTTTTTTATTTTCATTATTTTTTCCATCAACTTCAATTATGTTTAATAATTTTAATAAAGAATCATTGATAAGTGAAACTATTGTCCGAGTTTTCTTTTAGAATTATTAATATAGTTGGGCCTTCCTATAAAGATCAGACGCTCTTAAAGCTATTTAACATAATAATATAGTTTTACATCTTAAAGCTTACAATTTAATAAGCAGTCGATGTTTAAATCAAGAGACTAATTTACAAATATGTGGGGATGCTCGATGGAGTTCACATTTTCATATTTTAATTAGTCTCAAGAGAATGTATGTTCTGTACTCGAGGTGCTTGGATTCTTAAAACGAAAAAGGTACATGATCAACAATCAGTTGAAGTAGGTGTTTTGATTGATATAATGGAGTCTTTTGATTATATTTTCATAATGCATTTAATGATTGATATTTTAGAGATTACAAATGAATTATCAAAATCATTATAAAGAAAAGACCTGGGCATTAAAATGCGATGAAATTAAGACAAGTATCTAAAAAACGATTGCAAATACTAAGGGAGAATGGATAGAGTGTTTTATTAGATGTAGTGTCATATTTTTGTAGTGTTTTTGAAGTTTATGTTCTAAATATGAATGATAAATACAAAATTCATCGTCAATCAGTGAGAAAAGTTGAAGAAATAATAAATCTATAACATTTTCTTCAACTTCAAAAGTTAAATACTCATTTTTTTTAGAATCTAGAACTTAGTTGTATCTTTGTGCGACATGCTTAAACCAAAGTGATTCCTTTTAGCTTATGATGATAAGAAGTTAATACATCTAGCAAAATTATATCTAAGTGATTTTTTTACAATTGAGCTCATATCACTTAAAAGTCAGTTATCAACCTATAATATTGATATGCATACCATTGATGACTTCTCATCTCTAAACAGTATTGCTGATCTTACAAAATAAATTATAAAGTAAAGAAGGATGATGTATATCATTTGGTTTATAGAATTTAGTATAAACTTTACCAGTTGCTACTGCTATAGTGAGAGAGCATTCTATATAATGAGGATTGTCAAACATCGATTACATAGTAGGATGAGTGATGATTAGCTTAATGAATGTCTTGTGTCTTGCATTAAAAAAAATGTATTTAATTTGATTACCAATAAAATTATAATAAACATTATAAGAAAATATAAACAAATTGATAAGCTTGTATCAATCATAATGAAATAGAAATTTTTGCTTCACATTATGAATGCATTTTATTTTTTAAATATAAGTTCATTCATAGAAAAAGTTTTTCATCCTTAAATGAAAAGCTAGTTTCACCCCTGGTCGTAATATAATAAAGCGCAATCACAAGAACTATAACTTAGCATGTTCTGCAAGAATGTTGAAGAAGTTTGCTTAATTTTTAATAATTTTTAGTCAATATTCGAAAATTATTCAATCATAATACAACAAGCGCAATTACCATATCTTTTGTAACAAACTCAATAACTTTAATGCATTGATTAGATTAAAATAAATGAAGAATGCTTAAATCATCTAATTTATGTTCTAACCATATTTGGTTATCCTCTAGCTTAGTTAGACCATTACTCATCTCCATAATAATGATAATAAACAGCTTCATCCCCTTAATTACTCATCTAGGCAATCTTTGAATCAGGTTCGATGAATGATTGAACCATCTTTAATACACGTTCGAACAATTTGCATTCATCCTTCGATCATTATCAAATAAACTTCAACGAATGTTTGAAGATGATTTATTATGATCAAAGGATAAGAATAAATTGCTAGAACATGTGTTAAATAACAGTTGAAGATTGCTCAATCATAACTTGAAATTAGAGATCATTAGCACAATTTCTATTTAAATTAGAGATCATTACCACAAAAAAAAAATGTTTTTTTTTTTTTTTACATAAAAAGGCAACAAATCATATTGAATATAGTAAAAGAGTTTAAGCCAACTAAGGTTTCATTTGAAATGAACAATTATTACGTCCTCCGACCGGACACAGAGGAACGTCTGGTCGGAGGCCAAATCCCGTCAAAAAACGGTTGTACCGAGCAAATACCGAGCAATACCAAACAATAATGAGGAATACCATTATTTGAAGACTCAATACTGAGTTATACCGAGCTAAACCGAGAAATACCGAGTTATACAAAAGTTGTACTGACTTTTTCCTAGAAAAACTCGGCACAACTCAGTATTTCTCGGTACAGCTCGGTATAACTCGGTATTGGTATTCAAAGATCGGTACTCCTCGTTAATATCAAATAATACCTAGTTGTACCAAGCAAATACTGAATTTTTTGACGGGATTTTACCTTCAACCGGACGTTCCTCTACGTCCTTACACCGGACGTAATAAAAGTTCGTTTGGAACGGCTTTTTAAAGCTTTTTAAAGTATCTTTTTAATACAAAAATTTAAATTTTTGCACTAAAAGTTGTTTTAAGAAGCAATAAAAAAGTCATCCCAAACGAAGCCTAAATGTGCAAATACGGATTTTAAGAAAACTATGTTCCCAACCAAAGAAAAAACTTGAATGTTAATTTTTATGTTTTTCCTATTAATTTTTATGTTTTTCCTATTGGCAGACTGTGAAAGCATTCTATATAAGCTTTACGCTGTGATGTATAAAACTCTACAGCCATAAAAAAATTTTAAGTTATTCTTCTCACAACAACTCAACAATTAATTTTATAAAATATTACAGTCGTCCCAAATAGACTCTTTGACTATTTATATAAATTATTCAAAGCTAAAGAAAAGTTCAGCTAAAAAAAAGTTAAATAAACATGGCTATTTAGGAATATATTTAAGGTTGAAAGCCACTAAAATCATTTTTGATTGAATAAAGAAAATATGTAATTTTAACATTTATAACGTTAATAACTATCTTTGAATATTATTTGAAAGAAAAAAAAACTGATTACTATGATATTTTTAAATACATTGGATCTATTATATAAAAAAAATGAAAATATAAATGAAGACAACTTCGAAATTAAGGCTAAATGGTTTTTTTATTGGTTATTGCTTGTTTACTAAATAGTTAAAATAAAGTGTCACATGAATTTTGTGTAATAAGAAGCATCATAAAACATGGATAATTTTATAAACAACAAATGCAGAGATTCAACATGAGTGAGACAAAGTCAATTTCACTCTTGTAGATAGTTGCTTTCAACTATCTAAAGAACAATCACCTAGATCTGAAACAGAGTAAAAATAAATTGAAAAAACTTCATAAGCTTCAACAATTGGAAGAATAATGTATGTTATAATATGAACGAGACCAAATATAATATATACAATAGGAGTAATCAACAGATTCATGAGTAACTAATGTAAACTTTATTAAAAGGCAGTGTCAAAACCCGACCCGATAATACACATGTCACACCATGTCAGATTGTGGCAAGACATAACCCCAAGATTCAATTAGACAAAGTACCGAAAAAAACCTCCAATTATATGCTATACAGGTCACTATTGAATACAATATGAAGCAGAAGACTATAAAATGTCAAAGATAATTTTCTATTATAGCATCCAAATATATATATATATAAATCTCATATCTATCTACAATAGTGCTTGTCAACAGACAAAATTATAAAAATAAAAGCCAAATCTGCAAAAATAATTTAACCAAACAAAAAGCATATCTACAATACAGATCGGAGCCTGCCATCCAAAATTACTCAACTTGCTCCTTATCCTTTCCCTGAGTTGAAAAATAAAAATAAAAACAGGAATGAGCTAACATGGCACAGTAAGCTATCGTAGCCTAAAACAAAATAAATAATTTAAATTAAAAGATTGAAAAATACAGTGTTGCAATAGTAAAATAAAATACTAAGTGGAAAGCTAAATTTGAAACAATTATTGAAACTTAAACAAGTACTGAAACTGAATGCATTTAAACAAATATTGTAACTAATTGGATTACGAGTAAACATTTCATAATGATTATCAAAGTGATTATCATAATTCCTATTAAGCCCAAATTTTCATATATATACATATATAATTGTTACCAGAATCTCACCTCGATAGCCCACTAGCTTCGGCATAATAAAATCTCACCTCAGTCATCCACCGACGTTGTAATAACAAAATCTCACCTCAATCACCCACAGGCTCAGGCAAAACAAATATCACCTCGGTTGCCCACTGACACTGACATAACATAATTTCATCTCGATCGCCCACTAGCACAGGCATAACCCCAAATCACATTCTATCATATCACATTTCTTTAACCAACATACACATTTTTCCATGCACTTCATTAATTATAGCATAATTAGTCTCAATTTAGAAATTACCAAAATGTATTAACAATAATTAACAAAAAACCAGCTTAGAAAAGTAGGTGAAAATTCTTATTTTTAGAAAATAATCAAATTAGCAAAGATTACATAAAATATAACTTTAAGACTTTAATCGTGCTACAAAGTTATTTTTCAGAGGCTAGATTATTTTCTATTTAATAAAAATAGTATAAATTTCAAAAAACCCGATGAAAGTGGTGAGCTGCACCACTCTAGACCCTAACGCCACGACATTGCGAGTTGGGCTTAGTTTTTCCTTCCTAATTATTCTTAGTTCATTTAAAGAATTGCATCTCTTGGTGAATTTAAGTGCATCTATTAGTCTGTTTTATATGTAGAACAGTGTATGTAGTGAAGAGAAACAAGTGAGTGTGAAAAGAGTGATATGTATATTTTCTCCTATTTTTATAGTGGACTTCTCGATGCGGCCCCGTAGTTTTTTTTTTGTCCTAATTTTGAATTTCTTTCACGTTAAATCCCGATGTTCTTTTAGCTTTTTTTTCGTTGCATGGTTTTACTCTCAACAACAATAATTTTAAAGAAGATAATAAATGCTAATAACCAAAAGGTGACTAATTTCTTGAAGGCATGCGTCACAAATAAAAAATAGCTCGATTCTCAAATGAGAACTATGACATACACATATCAAAAGGTTAGTATAGGAAAATCAAACCATAAATTTAGAGATGAACATTAGGACAAGAGCCAACCAACAACAATAGCACTTCACACAAAAATAAAGTGACCTTAACATTGTCCTCAGTTGAAATATTTGGCAAAATAGCATTGAACACTAGCTGAGGGCTTAAGCTAGCTAATAAAAGATTGATTGCTAGTAATGGCATAATATTTAAAGAAGAGAGCAAACTTGATCCTCTCAAGCATCATCATAGTTTATAACACTTAACCCAATCAAACCAATGACTAACAAATCATCCCTCAGGAAGTTAAACTAGTCTGTCGACTACTTCTTAAACTTAAATTTCATTTGAGACATCTTTTGATTACTATCATTTTTTTTTTCTTTCAACAAATTTTTGTATTAAAAAACTGTTGTAAATAGCAATCCCAATCGAAACCTTACCGATTTCTACATAGTATAACAACGTTATCATGGTTAACTTATTAGAATGTAGGGAATTTATATTAATGACATTGCAAGTAGTAGTAGGGGAAAGCATTGCAATGATTCAGAAGGTTGCATGACTATAGAAAAGAATTCAATGAACAGCATCAGTGTGTGCCCAGTAGAAGATAATGGAATAGAAAAAGGTCAAGAAGAAGAAAGCACAATGAAACTCCAAAATATGGTGACGTCTCTGAAAGCATAAGGTCACAACTCAGACTGGTTCTGCATAACAGTTAACCTGTGAGCAATGCTCAGTGCCGGAAAAGCTGCCATGAGAACAACCACAACGAAACACACTGAAACAAAAATATGGTGCATCTCTGAAAGCAAAGAATTAAATGCTCTTTAGATTAGTTCAGTGTAACAGTTACTCCCGGAACAAATATAAGCTGACTTGTTGAACAAACTGAAAAATTCAAATGTACTTACAACCTTTGAATTGAATGCATATAAATATAAAATAAGACTTCCAATCTAATGCACAAATGCATGCTCACCAAAACTACAAAACACAAACAATAATTTTAATAAAGGTAGGGTATTTCAATGAAAAACTGAATAATGCATAGAGCAAGAGAATTAATGATCTGAAATACCTTGAATGGCTTATCTAATTCACATGAACGCCAAAGTTTCAAGTAAGCTAGGTGTCACCAGATTTTTCCTCCAATTCTGAAATATTTCTAACAGCAACAAACTCTTCTTCAGGTATTAAACACCAATTAGGAGATTGCACAGCTCGAAGCCATCGGAAATCGTCCACATTAGCCCAATTCCTTGTTTCTTCCTCAAGGCCAGAATCACTGAGGTCCTTGTCGATCCCTTCGTATAATAACCTGTAAGGCGCAAACCTCAGGCCACTGCAATCCTCTATAATGGGCCTACTTCGGACCCTAAGATAGAAATCACACTCTCTTGCTTGGTGAATCCTAATCTGGTGGGACGCTAGCATAAACAAGCAATTGTTCACATCCTCTATGAGAATCGATCCCAGCACCGGACCCGTAAATATGCGGCAATTCCTGAGCCGGTGAATAAACAATGCTCTGAATCTCCCTTTCAGATAAACATCACAGGAATCCAGATCAACAATGCTAAAATCCCCCTCTGATTCAGAAACTCTAAAACGCTTTATCAGAATCTCGCCTTGCTTGTTCCTAAAACCCGGCGAGTCCGACAAGCTAATATTCTGACTCGCAGCATTGGAAACTGTAATAAATTGCTCAGACTCTTTCGCCAAAGCAGCGGGTTCTTTCTTTGACGAAGCCTTGCTCTTGAAGGTGAACTTCTTCCTCGGTGCAATCTCGGCATTCGCGCTTTCAACCATTTCCTTGAGCTCCTCGATCGTTTTCAGGGAGGAACGTACCTCGTAAGGAGGCAGGAAATAAGAGTGTTCGGAAACGATTTTTTCAAGATCGGAGATGGATTCCGATACCTTGTCGAGTTCCAGCTTGATCTGGGATTTGGCTTTCGGATCAGCGGCGGCGATGGCACGGCAGCGGTGGAGATCGGCCTCTACGGAGCGTTTTGCGTCGGAAAAGAGGCTTAGGAATGATTGGACGGACTCGAAGGAGGGAGACGAGAAGTCAGCGGCAGTACGGCGAGCCGCGGACTGCTGAAGACGGGATTGGTGGTTGTTGGAAAGGCGCTCGAGCATCGCCGCGTGCTTCTTCTGGGCGATCATATCTAGGGTTTCTACGGGCAGACCGTTCGGCTTCTGGAGTTCGTCGCCTTCCATGCCAAACGGATTCCACGGCTCAAGCGGGAAGAAGAGATAGGGTTATAGAAATTTTAATGAGAAAGCTTTGTGGGGTTCCATTGGTAGCACTCTAATATTTGTAGATTTTACATCTAAATTATTACATATCATCTAATATTTTAGTTAAGGAGTTAGCCAATCTCGATGAATAATAGTCGGAACTAGGGTTGTAAAAGGGAGTAATTATTGTGTACGAACATCGAATGTGTCTAGAGATCAATAACAGAGCGCCACGTCCTAGGTGACTCGGTACCAAGCACTCGGTATCACTCGATATTCGTTCGGATTTCGGGTTTTTTGTTCATGGACGTAGATAAACTTATTCATGTAAAAGGGCTTTCGAGCTTAGATCATGAGCTTGATGCTTGATTAATTAATCAATTCGGAGATAAATTTTATTCTACGAGTTTGAGATGGTTCGTGATTAATGATCAAATTCGAGATGAAGCATATCTAGGAGCCTTGAAGAGCTGGCTCCCTGGTCCCATTTGAATCAGGTCACTCTTCTGAACTAATACTGAAGAAAAAAGTAGGTCAAACAATATTATTGTAGAGATAAAATTTCTATTAATATATTAGTTCTTATGCTCCTCAGAGATGGTTTGAATGTGATATAAATTAACAATTTGAAAATAACTTAAAAATTAATTCAAAAATGATACCTCTTGAAAAAGGAATTTTTATTTAGAGGATATTATAAATAAGAACATATTTGGTAAACATGATAAGAGATTTAAAAGCATTCATATGGTTAATGTATTTGGAGCGACTAATGATGGTAGTATAATAAATAGATTTACTCAAATCAGTGTATATATAATATATTAAAAGTTGGAAGTAGCTCCAATGCGTAGATAAGCATTACGAGAGAGTCTCTCGATGGTTATGGTTTAAGGGTTATAGGGTTAGAAGAAAAAATAAATATTATAATTAAAATGATAAAAATATTAAAAATTATAGAGAATAATAAATGTTACTTAATATTAAGAATGAATATTAATTTTAAATATTTTTAACAATTTTGATATTTAAATTTTTGAATTATAATAATATTTTATATTAATATTTATTTAAAGCAAGCCGTCACGGCTTACAAAATCGAGTCAGGGCTAGCTCAAGCTTTGCTGGTTAGTTCATCGAGCTCGACTCATTAGCCATTTATCGAGCCGGCTCACGAGTAGGCTTGACTTACTTACACCCCTAGTTGAAACTCCCATGGCATGTCACTAGGTTATCTTTGTTGTCGCCTCTTGTTGATGCGCTCCCATGGCATGATGTCAACTCTGCGAACTTTTATTTGGTTCGGTCACCAGACGTAGCTTTACGTTCGGACGCCAGTAAAATAGTGTCACGTGTTCTCACTATTTACCGCGTGGCCTGACAACCCTGACCCAGAACGGAGCCGAGATTGCTATGTTCGCGTATTGCTAGGTATTGCTCAGTATTTGCTCGGTATTGGTCGATTTTACTTGGCAATAATGAGAAATACCATTCTGTGAAGACCAATACTAAGCAATACCGAGTTTTTCTCGGTATTGCTTGGTATTGCTCGGTATTGCTTGATATTGCTCGGTATTGGTCTTCACAGAGCCATATTTTTCATTATTGCCAAGCAATACCTGGCAATACTGAGAAATACCTAGCAATACCTAGAGCAATATCGAGCAATACACGAACATATTATTGACGTCTGAACGTAGAGTTACGTCAGGTCACCTGACCTAATAATTCTTCCAACTCTGCTAAGCTTGCCACAAAATGAACCCATTATCACGTCTTATAATCATGCAATTTCCTCTCTTCTTTGATGGCAAGGGCTTTAGAAAATTGGAGCTCACAAGTAAAGGAATTGACCAATGCAAGCATAAGAAGCGGCATGAGCGGGGTTCAATAGAGGCGATGACAAGGTTCAGGATTTTTACAGGATGTGTTGCTATTTTTCATTAGATCAAATAGTTATGTTTAGATGTGAAATATATAAATGTTAATATTTTTAATGATGTATGTAAATCTCTCAAAATTTTGTATAATTAGTAGTAGGCCTCTTAGATCATTATCTAGTAATACTAATCCAAAGGAGATAGAAAAAGATCCTAGTGAAAACTACTTAATGAGTGGTTGTGATGAACCCCAGCCAAAATAAGCTTAGGTAAAAACTCTGACTGCTCGGTACCGAGCTTTACTAACACTCGGTACAACTCGGTACTGGCCATTAATGTTCCGTATAAGCTTAACTAAAAGCTCGGTACTGCTCTGTACCGAGCAGTACCGAGCTTTACTAACACTCGGTACAACTCGGTACTAGCCTTTAATGTTTCGTATAAGCTTAGATAAAAGCTCGGTACTGCTCTATACCGAGTAGTACCGAGCTTTACTAACACTCGGTACTTATCTGTACCGAGCAGTACCGAGCTTTACTAACACTCGGTAATGTTCTGTACCGAGCAATACCGAGCTTTACTAACACTCGGTACTGCTCGGTATTTGCCAATATTTGTCGGTATAAGCTTAGCTAACTGCTCGGTACAGAGCAGTACCGAGCATTACTAACAGTCGTTAGTGCTTGGTACCGAGTAGTAGCGAGCATTACTAACGCTCGGTAATGCTCGGTATTCGCAAGTATTGGTCGGTGTAAGCTTAGGTAAGAACATAAAATATTTTATTCTTCTATTTCCTGGATATATACACTCAATATTGCTCGGTACCGAGTGATTTTGGCAGATTAATGATTGGTATTAGCACAGTCTAGCAACGGTTAGTTGGCCGGCAATGCTCGGTAATACTCTGATTGAGTTGTCTTTAATACTCATTATTTGTTATGCTGGGATATACTCCAAAGATTCAATTTAGATGTCGAACTTCGACTTTTAGAGAAGTTTGTAATGTACTTGTTCGGAAATTTGGAGAACCCTTTGTTGAAAAACTGAGGCTGCTGCAAATTAGTCAATTCCTTAGGGTACCCCAAATGCATCAGAATGTTCCGCTAATATACATGCTACTATCGAAGTGGGATATGAAGACTAAAAGTTTCATTATTAAAGGACAAAGTCTACAGTTCATATCTGATGAAGTTGCATTACTTATAGGCATGCCGAATAGGGGTATTACTTTTGACATTGGCACTGCCAGATCTACTGGCAAAACTTCAAATGACATTCGTCATGACATTGAGAGGATGGATAATACCACTCCAATAGACGATCTAGTGAAAGCCTTCGTCCTTTACCTACTATCAAACATATTTTATCCAATGGCTAACTTTCGCATTCCATCATCTATATTGGAACTTGTCAAAAATGTAGATAGTTTTATAACATACAACTGGCCAGAATCAATCAAGAGTTTCCTAGTAAATGAATTCAACAATGTTGGTACTAAACAAGCTAACCGATCCGCACTGGGATATGTAAATGGTTTCGTAATGATTCTAATTGTGAGTATTGTTATTTTATTCAAATGATCATTGTTGATTTCCAATTTCTATAACAAAATTAAAGTGTCTTAATTTTGGCAGATTTGATTTCTTGAACATACAAACATTCATGTCGTGGAGGATGAACTAACCCGGCCACATTTTACTCGTTGGGATGGTAATTTTATGTACACTGAAAAAGATATAAATAGTATATTTGCTGACCTTCAGGATGATGAGGTATCTTCAATACATTTTTTCATTTAAATCTCTGCAAAAATGATATGTTTTAATGTTTAACTTAGGCGTAAATTTAAAATAACAGATTCTCCCACATTTTAGAGGAATAACAGATGATGAGAAGGTTTTATTTCATGGACCTTCAAATATGTCATCTAAGTCATCCAGTCCATCTCCACATAGTCCAGCCAGTCCAGTTATGGTAGCTAGTCCACTTAGGGTACCAAGTCCTATCCGGGTGGCTAGCCCAGCTCGTGTACCTCACCATGATTCATCTCAACCTACCCCCACTAGTCCAGTCAAGGTTGCAAGCCAAAGAAATACTGAAACATCTACAAATACTCCCCTTGATTCGAGGCCAATAACAGATGAAACAAACCTCAAGATAATAAATGAAGCTATATACAAGCTGTTTAAGAAAGACAAATTCTTGAAGAAGAAGGTAGCTTCGGTGAAAGCAACAAATAGAGAGTTTGAAAATCGGGTTTTGAACTTGGAGCACTCTATTTTGGAGTTGATAGGGGAGAATCTTGTTTTGAAAGAAGAGATGAAAAGAAAAGACCGTGTAATGTTACAGTTCTTCAAAGATCAATTTCCTTCTTATATTAAAATGTACAATAATGAAATGTCTGGACAATCTTCATTAGCTACTACTGAAAATGGTAGTCTGAGTGCGAAAGTGGAATTCGATCCTGTTGCGGAGACCGGCATAGCAAAAAGAGTTCAGCAAAGAAATGATAGAAAGAGGAAAATTGTAACTACCCCATTCACAACCGGAAATAGGAAGAAAAAAATTAAACAAGTTTCATCATCGACAGAGAAGTTATGTGAGAAAATTCCAAGTGATGTTCCAGTCCAGTCCCCTGAACCTGATCCTGCTCCACCACCAGCACATCAAACTGCTCTTGTTACTGTTGCTGAACCACCTATTGATACTGAAGTTTTTGGACTTGTTTTACCATATCCGACACATATTCCAACTACTGAAAAATCTGTGATTGTTTATGAAGTTGATGATTCTAAAGAAATACCATTTAAACCTACACCTGAATACTTAGATTACCCGGGCAGATCATTACTTAGTAAAGATAAACTGCTGTTTATTGATAATGCCCTCAAAAAATTTAAGGATAAGTGAGTAATGATCTTATACCGATCAATACCGAGTAATACCGAGTAGTACCTAGCTATATTGATCGGTACTACTAGGTATTACATTAAGCATACTCGGTACTATATAAATACCGAGTTGTACCGAGTAGTACCGCGTGATACCGAGTAGTACCGAGCTTTACTATATGCTACTACTCAGTATTACATTAAACATACTCGGTACTTTATCAATACCGAGCAATACCTGAGTACTACCGAGCTTGGGAATATAACAATAGTATTTTT